AAAAAAAAAATAAAAAAATCAATCAATCAATCAAACCTTATCAGTATCAATTTTTAAAACCAGTCATCATGTAGCAAAAGCCAGAAAACAACACACCAACTTAAGCAACATAAGCCTGATCCCAGTCCCCCTTTTTCAATGGTTAAATCATGGACACTGTACAGGCCTGTCACACGTAATGCAGCCAATGAAGAAACTTCAAAGAGGACGTGACAGCTGTCATGTCTCAAGAATAAAGAATAAACACCATCAGTTAAAAAGAAATGTGTTTGTGTTAGGTGTGTGTATCCTCACCTTGGTCTATGCTGCTGTGATCCGGGGTGTCAGCCCCTCCTCCTGCAGAAGTCGTCGTCACACCTCCAGAAACTTCGCTTAGTGGGTCACTTCGGTTGGCGCTGTCTGACTCAAAGCGCACACGGGAACCGGAGCGCAGGCTGATGTCAGGTGACAGGTCTGACCCCCCTGGGAGGTCCTCCGCCTTTGTGGGCGTCACGGTGAAGCGCACCGATGCCATTATAGCTCACTTGAAAGAGACGGGGGGTGGAGGGGCACTATGTGGGATGCAGGAGAAGAGGGAAGGGGAAGGAGGAGTCACGGACTGGCCAGCAGGGCTCAGCTGAGCTAGGCTAGGCTATTTTGCAGTTGATGCTGAGGTAATGGCGTCCTCTACAATTTGCCCTTTTGATGCTGAAATTCTCCATTTAAGCAAACTAGACTTCTTCCACACGGCATGTGAAAGAAAAGGTACAACAAATAAATGTTTCCAGTGACACAAGCACAAAATGATCAAATCCCTGGCTATAAAATCCTGGCTATAAATTTGGGAATGTGTAGAATAAAAACTGAGACATGATATGACACAAACAGCTGAGGCTGTCTTTTATTATCAAGCTAAATCTTCAAACTGCCCTCAGTGCGTTCTCTCTTCTACCTGCACTTTGTTTCAATTCCTATGGCTCAGCAGTCAAGTGCATTAAACTTGTCTTTCTCTGCTATTTCTCAAGTAAACATAAGTAAAACTTGTCTGTCAAGCAACCTTAGAGGTAAAGATGTCTTTATAACGATATCACACATTAGAGGCCAGAGCCAGGGCAAAGGAAGGGAAGAAAGTGGTACAGTGAGGGGTACAGACAGACAGGAAAAACACAAAGCAGAATTAAATTTAAAAGAAACAAACAAACTGAAAGAAATCTGAAAAAAACAACAAGATAATAACAGCAGCTAAAATACTAAATGCATCCATAAACCAATGAGTATTGGTATATGAAAGATGTGTCCATCTTTCATATACAGTGTGTGTTAACACCAAGTTGTTTGCTCTGCACTTCTTCTGTTGTACCATAAAATGCATCTATGCACCGGGGAGGAGGGGGGGCATGTTATGGTGCTTCTTAACTCAACATAAAAAACCCACACATTTCAACCCAATTCCTTTTCTCTACATGTCAATGGAACAACTCTATGAAAACGACTGTGCATCACAAGTATCATCTTCTCAGAGCAGCATGACTGCTCTCTAAGTAAAGGAGGTGTGAAACAGTAAGCACTGTGAACATCACTGTTGTCCAGCGCCTTCAGTGGTTAGTGAACTAGATATCCAGTGTTCTAACTAACCTGAGGGAAAGAAGTGACCCAGCACAGGTGGACATTGTGTATCTGAATTGTTGTTTTAGCTTGAATCATAATTTAATTATTAAAAGAGAGCGGTTCCAACCGGTTGTGCCAGTAGCTCCTGGCTGTTTTTTCTCACTCTGCATTCACAGACTTGGCCTCTCTTTCTTGTTTTATAACACTACCCATCTAACAGTCTTTGTCAGTCTGCATTCAGAAGTGGACGAGATGGGTGGAGAGGGGGTAAGGAGGGGGGGTTTCTCGAAGATAAAGAAAGCTGCAGCGTGAAAAGCATCTGCTCTGAGGCGGGCGTGAGGTTATTTTCGTGAGCCTCCTCCAGCCATATTTGAGCTACACCTAAATTAGTTTCCATTATAACTCACCAGCATGTGTTTCTAATAAGAAAACTAGATTTGGGGGGGGTGGGGGGGCAGACAACGTACAGTGAGGTGATAGAATGAGCTGGCAGAACATGTCAGAGAGCCTTAGCGCAGATATTACTACCTCAATCTTCAGTCTGACATTCACTGATAGACGACTGAGCCTTGCCTCCCACTAGAGACCGACACACCCGTCTAAATCTAACCCAACTTTAAGTTCACACTGATGTGTAGCGATGCCAACATTCAGAGAGCAATGTAGAAACAATTCAGTGACCATGCTGTGGTCAACGAGCAAGTAGTGGCCTTTAAAACTGCCACTGAGGGCTGATTCCAAAATGACCCAGTCCATGTGAGCTGTATGTCTCCAGGCTTATCAGATGCTTCTATCAGTGTGTTTTTCTCACAGTTGTGCGTAACTAAATGACGCCATCAAACTCATGGCAGCAGAGCTTTTGCATGCCTGAGTCACATGCAGGATTTTATCAAATTCTGTTACTTGTCTTTAGAGTTTTGCAGATTCTCCAAACCTGTGGAGGCTTAAATTTTTCCACAATTAATCATAAAAGAATCAATAAAGAACGAGACAGAAGAACTGATAAATTCTTGGATATCCACCCAATCTTAAATATATCCGTCCCTGCTGAGAATGCCTCAATCCACAGATGGACAGTTTATTACACTTCTGATATAACACAGATACTTTGGCTTCAAATATGTGATGATACTGATCCACCACTGTGGTAAAATAAATCATCTGTAACCCTCACTGTTGCATGTTCAATAATCTTGTAATTGAAATAATAGCTTCCACGACCAACTATATGATACTGACTACCACCATGGAATCCCTGGGAAATAGCATCACTATTCCCAGAAGAACACTTGAACCTCACGGCGCAGATAGTACGAGTGTCCAAAGTAGCTAGACTGGGAAGCCCTGGGCTGACCTATCCAGTTGATGACCACCTTTATGTGACTGCCAATGTTGGCTTCATAGACAGTAGAAAAGAATGATGTAGTGATCATGACGTCATGAGCTTGTTTCTGAAATCTTATTCTGAAACCTCGAGATTGATGTTTTCACCGACAACAGCTTGGTTTAAAAAAAATAAAGAAACAAAACAAAACAAAAAACCCCCCAGAAATGTGAAGAGGACGAGGAAGGAGAAAGAGCAGGTCATCCACTAGTTGGAAGGTACTAATCATGTGTCTCTTTTGGCCCGTCTTCATCCCAAGAGTTTTTCCTCCCCACTATCACTAAGTACTTGTTCATACGGAGTCATCTAGTTTTGGAGTTTTCTCTGTATTATTGTAGGGTTATCTCACAATATAAAGCACTTTGAGGTGAATTCTTGTGTTTTGGCTCTAGAACATTTATAAATAAACCTGAAACCTTAAAATCATTCCTACGTGTGGCCATCAAACTTCCCATTACACCTGGATTTACTTATAATATTTTATCTATAATACACATAGCATTGCTTTAACCTTGGAATGTTTAACACTGCACTTTTGGGTACATTAGTTTGACTGATTTTCACTTGTTTTACTGCATACAGTTTACAATATTTTCACTGAGCAGTGATTTATTTACAGTGACCCTTTACCCAAGCAGTGCCAGCAAAATTTTGGTGCCTCTTTGTTGGTCATTTTTTATTAATGCTGCCTTATCAACACTTACAAATGCCCAAGACAAACCCTCAGAGCTCAAACATTAGTCATTTGAAACGAATGCCTGGCTCTGGTTTCCTTTAAAGAATATGTTAAACACACACATTTACTCGTATGTGTGTCACTTAGATAACATTACAGCATATTCAGCCACCTTTTTTGTCCAAGCATAAGGATTGAGCACATTTTGTTCCTTTTTCCTGCTAACTCGGGGCCTATTTTTGCATTTTAAGCTGTTACCTTTGCATCAGGAGACAGTCATAATGCCTTGCTACCAATGTGGGCCAGTATTAATGATCATGGATTAGTTTGCCAAACTGCAAGATCAATATCTGTGAGGCTACCTGACCTCACCTCCTAAACATATCTAACCGCCATGACTAAAGATTATTCTTTTAGCTAAACTAGCAGTAACTGGCTTTAACCTCACCTACTTCTAGATTTTTCCAGGTCTGAGATCAATTAAGTGAAAATACTGCCTTAATTTTACTATCGTTAAGGAACTTTACAGTCAAATTAGGGAGATTAGGTCCTCTTGCGCTTTTGGCAGGCAGCCTCCATCACGAGGATAATGCGGCTGTAAGCAAATATGATCCAGAGACGAGGACATGGCAAAACACACCTTTACCAATTAAGAAAAGTCTTTAATTAACCAGTTTAGGGAAATCAAAGCTGGCTGTGATGCTCGCCTCTCTAACCACCGCCCATTGTAAGCCAATTAAGCTGGCCATAATAATTCTGGCTCGAACCGGTCACTGAACACCTGCAGACGACACGATATGGCAAGAGCCAGCGTTAGGATAAAATGCCAAGCAGACATTAACTCAAACCTCGCGAAGAGCGATTTTTACGACGTGGGGGACCTGTGAGCGGCTTGAAAATAAAGGCGTAAAAAACCGTCCAAAAACGCGTGGTTATTCCGGGATAAACCGGCCGGGTAATTAGCTTGTTACTCACAAAGTTGTGATTTTCCTTTCAACCAAGCGTCTTGTGTCGAAGAGCATCACGCTCAGCGCCGACCCATCAACCAGATATCCATAGGTGGTAACAAATACACACACTCATACGGGGAGGTCGTATCGGGTGAAGCCGCTCGTCTACAGTCAGCGCGGCTAACCAAAGCTAGCTCAGCGACTAGCCGTGCCATAAACTGTCAACTCCGCGGAGCCCCGGCTGCCTCACCGACACCGATAGAGAAAAAGCCCGGAGTTCAGACAGTTATCACATGAAACACATACCTGGCTCTGGCTTCCATGTGGCCCTATGCACATATGGCTGTTTTAAATCACTAAAAATTTGGGAGTGTCTCCCAGGTTTTCTCGGGACTTGTTTTTTTTTTTTGGTTGTTCAACCGACTCAACCATACACACGCGCGAGCGCCTGGGGGGTCCTCTATTCCTCGCCGTCGCTCCAACGTCTTGCGCATGCGTAGTGACAGACAGTAGTAAAAGCTACTTGGGAAATGTAGTTCGAATAGACAGCGGCTAGCTATCCAATACGAACAGTGCTGCTAAAAATTTGAAATGCATCACTTATTTCTTTAAATATATTTTTGATCAATACCAGAGTTAATACAAATTTACTTTTTACACACTCTTTTGCTATTTGTAATACATTTCTGGTACTTTTATTTATATTTATCTGCGAGCTGTAGCTATTAGTTACTTAACATATTAAAAATACCTTTAAAGTACTTCTGTCAGCTAACATTAGTTTTGCTTCTTTCCTCACACTTATTGTCTGGCCCTTTGGACTAGGCCCAAATCCACATATTGAGAACCAGTACCTAGCTCTAAAATATGTAACTTACATGAATTATTGTTGTATTAACAATTCAAGAATGTAAAATTAAATATCTGAAATACTATGGCCTTTGCTATTTTCTGAATTAAATTGTATGTTCTTCTAAAAATACTTCAGTAATCGGTTATTTCCATTGTTTCACTGTATTTTCTGCTGGGAAAGCTTTAAATACTTTTTACGGGTAATTTGATTTTAATCTGACTAAGTAAATATAAGTACTAAGTAAATATATGGCTCAAGAAAATGAAGGGAAAGCTTGATCATTTCAGTGTAAAACGGTTCAACTTCAGGCATGTTAATCTGTCTTTATAAGAGTCAGCCTGAAAACAGGTCAAAAAGGTGCTGGGGTTAAATCCTCAGACCTTATGCTGATGCAGTAAACCCAGGGTTCATCTCATGTGGGACAATATCAGGCCTTCAGGCATTCTGGACGTGACTGTCCCTCACACACCTCAGACCTGAGCCCAGACCTTTCATCATGTCAGAAATGCTGTGCAGGAGCCCACAGATATCTTGATCTAGGACTGGGAGAAGATCCAGCAGGACACCATTCATCATCTCATCATGCAAGGTGATCCCTCAGGTTAACAGGAGTGACAATGGCAGTGAAGAGGGATAAAGAAAGAGCAATAGTCGGAGAAACCATTCCTCTTATTGGCTTTCTACAAATGATTTATGTTTCCAAACCGTACACTCTGATCTCCCTGAAGTTTAACTGACTTTGGGTTGATTTGTGATGGGTCCCTTAATTTAAATTAGATTTTTTTTTTTAGCAGTATTCAATGAGCATAGGGAGGTGAATTTTAGTACTTTTCTCCTTTTGGTCTGAATAACTGCTGTTTGTTTCCCACAAAAATATGGGTGTCAGTCCAAATGCACCTTTTTGAATTACAACTTTTTTCCTTTCTAAACTTTGTCACATTTTAAGAAAGCAGACAAATTCTTTAAAAAAAAAAAAAAAAAAACTATATTTACTAAGTTATAGTTCTCTAATCCATCTAAGTTAGAAAAAGGTAGCACGCTATTCAGCTAATATAAAAGTGACTTCCCTCACAATGTCCATCCATTATTTAACAATTGGAGGTCAGCTTTGTACCAGTTCTTTGTATTGGCTTCTTTTAAATAAGCAGTAATCAACATTTAGCATAAATACTGTTTGAGTTTGTTTTTTTTATAATATCCTCTTGTTTACTCCAAGGTACAACACCATGACATCTACATTTCCTTTCTATTAGTTTGCATCATGTTGTGCACAAATCTTGTGATGCTGGAGTCACTTGCAGTTCCACCTTTGACATGTTGTCAGCAGCAAAACACAAGTGAAGTGTTAACCTGCTGGAGACCTCTGATCACAGCCACTCAGTACCAGTCAGGACTTAAAGTGTCCTCTCCTACAGCACTGAATTTTAAAATGGAGCCAATCAGAATGTGGGACAGGTGGACAAAAGATATATTAAAAAAAACAAAACAAACAAAAAAAAAACCCTGTACAGTCACACACAAAGAGTCACCTGGCTGTCCTATATCTACAAATCGATCCAGTGTTTGGCTGCAAAAGTAAAAGACATGTTTTTAAAAAAGAAAGCTTTGAGAGGAAGTTATGGCTGTCTTGGGAAACAAATGGAGAAAATCTGCAGGCTCAGCTAAAGTGCTTCTTCAAATCTATAATCAGCTGTGTGTTTTCACAAATTACGTGATCGTGTTATTTTGAATATAGGGAAATCCTGTAGGACAACCTTCATACTACAGCGCCCCCTGGCTGGTAGGTTGGTGGCACATTAAAGACTATCTGCATTTAAATGCTTCATTTGTCCAACAAGCTGTCAGCCAGTCTGGATTTTAGACACACACAGGCAACACGTGAGGAGCTATGACACAAAGATTTATTTAGCATGAACAAATTAAAAACCGCCACCCTTAAAAAAATATGAACAAATTCCATCATCACGTCAATGGAGGGTACGAGCAGTCCTTTAAATCCGGCTCAGGTGTTTTCTCGCTCTTCTCCTTGTAGCTCCATCCTGGTATGTCTCTCTCCTCCTCCTCACATGACAGGCTTGGGCTGCTGGGTCAGCAGTATGTTGAAGCGTTTCTTCAATATCACCCGGTTCCGGGAAAACTTGTCATCTGGGGAGAATCGAGCCGGGTGGGCCGAGCTGGTGGGCTCCCCATCTGGAGTCACCTTCTGTGGAAAGAGAAAAGAGTTTGCTTGTGCTTTTTAAGGGTTTCAAATCATGAAAATAGATTTTCAGTGCGTTTTCAGATTTCTCCATGACAGCTGGCGGGGTCGCAGAGCTAACACAGGGAGAGAGAGAGACAACCATTCAGACCCAGGACCAGTTTAGAACTGCAGCAGTCAGAAGTCATGGTCCTCATAGCCCAGTTTTGGACCCTGAGACACAGACAGCAAAAGCTGTAGATGACACTGAGGAGAACCACATCCAGCACCTGGAAAAATCAGCTGTGGTGGCCTCAAGAGTTGTGTCCCCTCCCTCTACACAAACAACCACACCACTAAAGACCTGTAGGTCAAAATCATGAAATGTGCAGATGATATGACTGATGACTCTCCATACAGATGTGGGGTTGAACAGCTGTCCCTGTGGTGTAATCAGAACAATCTTGAGCTGAATATGCTCAGAAATGTGGAGACTTCAGTTGGAGCTGTTCAGCACCACCCCCCCTCGCCTCAAGGTGCCGGTACACCCTCCGCAACGGTTACAGACAATTCCATTTATACTCACTGTTGAGGCACTGCAGTATTCTCCCCAACAGTAGGAGTCGCCACTCAGAAAATACTGCCAATTACAGAGCTGATATCAGAGGAGAAGTCAAAACTAGATGCAAAGACATTGCTGAACTTTTCTGGGGGGGTTTCCATAAAGTCTCATATTTTCAAACTGTTGAAACATATTCCTCTAGGTAACTGTGAATCTCTGAGCATCTGCAATGGAACATCATTAAAATGGCGTTAAAAACTTAAATGATCTTACACTCATGTCTTCAAGCCATGTGCACAATGTTTCAGGTTACAAAAATCTAGAGGTGCATGTCTGGTTAAAGTGACACGACACGTCCCAGTTTTAAAGACGTAATGTTTGCCGCAGGGGCAGGAATTACTTACTCCGCATCATTGTGTGTGCTGTGGAAACCTTCAGGTTTCTGGGATGCAGAACCTCCCAGGATCCAACACAGACAAAATCATCAAGAAGACACAGCAGAGGATGAACAGCCTGAGCTTTTGCAAGAAGTTCATTCTCTGTACTCTGAAAAACATTACTGTATGGTTTGGATTTGGATTTAACAGGACGAGACCAGACTATAACAGACACTGGGGTCTGCAGGTAAAACAAACAAACGTTGGTGCCGACCCATCCTCCATGCAGGATTTGTACAAATCCAGAGTCAGAAAACGAGCAGGTGAAATTGCTGCAGACCTATCACAACCTGAGAACCTTCACAGACATACTGCAAACAACCTGTTCCAACTCCTCCCCACTGGTAAGCGCTACAGAGCACTTCATGCCAAAACAAGCAGACACCTGGATCGTCTCTTCCCACAGGCCGTCACTCTGTAACACCAACACTCTCATAGTGTTTGTACTTAAAACATCCATTATTACTGCTGCTGAACCAAATCGAGCTGTATACACTGCTTTGTTGTCTATATACCATTTACACAACTCTGTCAAGTTCCCATTTATTTACTGTATGTATCGTAACCAGGTATCCCTTATTTATTCACTTAGTCCAACATCTTCACACTAATCTTGTAGCAATTGTCGGTGTCATGGTATTATTGTCTGAATTCAGTGTTTGTCCAGGCTGAGCCCTATATTCCTCAATAAAGCTCCCAATTCAGACCAATTTGATCTTAAGTGGGCTGGAGGAATAAAACCATTCACCAGTAACCTATATATGAAAAAACAGCTCCAACAGTTCCCTTTTCTTTCAGTGTACAAAATATTTCCAAGTTCACATTTAATCACTGAGATTTCCTTTGTCTGCACACTGCTTGTGCCCCCCTCAGGCTGTGTGTTTACTGGCCCCAGGCAACTAGACCACCTCGCAACTTTACAAGCCAGCACAAGAGTTTCTTCACTTGTGACCTAACTAATAGGTAACCAACAGTTGTTGAGCTAAAACTTGCCCATAATTTCTCATTTCCTTCAAGGTGATTGGAAAGTCACAGGATGCAAGACGCCCTTGCTGTCGAAAGGGCTTTCCAACAGAGGCAGATTTAATAAACAACAAGGTTAAAATGAAAAGCAACTCAAGATGTACATTTATTTATTAGGAAGAAAGATAAAACTACACGACAGCTACAGGGAAGTCACGCAAGAAAATGTTCACAGTGAATGTGACAAAAAAAGCATGAGGTACCTCAAAGTCGACTAAAAGCATTTAAGTAAAAACTACCAAGTGTTGGACATGTCCTTACGGTGGACGAAACGCATCAAGGGCAACTCCAAACATTCGTCTGTGGGCGCATACCCTCTTACGTGCCCAACATATCTGGTTATTCTGTAATCGCAGCTAATTTCAAAACACCCCGATGAATACCACCAAACACAGAATCTGCGTCTGTGCTGTCCTAACCCAGGATCTGTCTGCTTAAAAGTTAATGTGTGATAACCTCACACTCAAGAGATGGAGGAAGATGGAAGCAAGAGCGGACCGCAGGAGAAGCAGAGGAGTTACGCTCTAAGGTAAGGACCGCTTAGCTGTGTGG